TCTAGTGTCTGAGTTTGTTTTGCTGTTCTTGTTTCAATTACTGTAGTTGATATGTTAAGGTGTTTCTTTCTTCCTTTTTGATATGTGCACTTATTGCTACAAACTGGATTCTGAGTACTGCTTTCACCATGTCCCAGAAATTTTGGTATATTGCACTTTCATTCTCATTGTTTTCAAGGATTTTTGTGTGTTCTAATTCAGTTACCCAGTGGTTTTTAAGTAAAATGTTCAATTTCATTGTATTTAATTTTTAGGGTTGATCATCCTATGGTTAATTTCTAGCTTTGATGTTGTTGAATTTATTGACATTGGCTTTATGGCCTAAAATGTGATCTACTCTGGAGTAAGTCTGCGTGCACTAGAAATGAATGTATATTGTGTTTTTGTTGAGTCAAGTGTTCTATATATGTCCAAGAGATCAATCTGACTGTGGTTAGTTCTTCTGTACCTGTTAATTTTCTAATTGATTAATCTTTGCTCAAAAGTGTTGTGTTGAAGTCTCCTAGTACTATCATATTATAATCTAATTTGCTTACTGTATTTGGAAGGTTTTTGATTTGGGACATAGATATTAATTATGGTTTATGTTCAATTGAAGCTTTCATGATTATATATTGCCCTTCATTGTCACTCATTGATGTCAAATTTGTCAGAGAATTAAAATTGTTAATCCTTTCTTCTGATTCCTGTTAGCATGATATTTTTTTAACCATCTTTTTGTTTTTATTCTTTATGTCTAAGGTGTGTTTCTTATAACCAGCATATTAAAGGCTCATGTTTTATCCATTCTCTTCATTTTTGTTTCTTAACTGGTAAGTTCAATCCATTTACATTCAATGTTGCTGTTATATATGTTTTTATTATATTAATTTCTATGTTCTTGATGATTTTGGAGATGAATTTCTTTTGTCTACAGATTTTCATGTCAATACTTAAGTCTTTTACTGCTTAACATGATTATATTTTTTGTTGTGTTGAGATTTTAATTTTTTTCTTTGAGGATTTTTTATTTCTTGGTTTTCTCTCCAAATTCACAAACGACTAAATACCTTCTGTTTGACTATTATCTACTCTGTTCCATTTTGCTGCTGTTGTCTTCATTACAGAAATGTTACCTGTAATTCCTTATTTTGATTTGTATAGTTGTTTTATTAATTAGAATGTTTTTTCCATAATAATGTTTTTATGGTAATTTTAGGTCGCTGCCTCTTGCTGTTGCATGGTACTTTCAATATTCTTCAATGGCACAATTTAAACCCATTGATTTTTTTCTTTGAGGCAACTGAAAATACTATGGCTTG